AAACGTAAGCTCCAAATTTTGCATAAGTTTTCCACAAACAAATAGCTTCTTCATATCCATCATCTGCCAAACAAATACAACAAAAAAAGAGCTCAATGTGGCCCATCCATTTTCGAGTTATGCTTATGCGCCGTCTGACGTACTCAAGTTTGGTATATACATAGAAATGTTTATTTTGAATAACAATCAGGGGTTGTATTCGATGTGAATAAGGTTGTTTAAATTAAATAATTAAATCAAATTCGTTTTTGTTTTAAAATACCACCATTCACTATTATCCACATCTTTTTATGGAATCTAGCTCCCATTTTAGGAAGTGTGATTGAATTCTTCCCCTTTTTCTCCTGCTTCCATAAACCATCCCTGTGGGTGGGAGTGTCGTATTTTAGAAAAATGCTGCTTACAAAACCTTTAATAATTGAATCATGCTTATAATCGAAATTTGAACAAGCAAAAGGTACACATTTTGTTGGGTACGGCTCGGTTATTTGTACAAAACCCAAAACCATTGCACAAATAACCGAACATTTCCCCTTTTGTTTTTTGAAAGAGGTCTAATGCTTAATAAGTTGATAATTGTGTTAAATTTTAAAATATGTTCACTAAATTTGGCAAGTAGTTATCGAATTTATCGTAAAACTTTTTACATTTTTAAGATAAGATATTAATTATTTTTAAAAGGTAAATGTTGATACAACTATTTTATTTATACTCCCAAATTTAGGATATAAAATCCCCTCCACCAAAAAACTTAAATTGGGTAACGCCGCTTCGAATTTGTTACAATTGAGCATTGTAAAAATCTCTTTTTAATCAAAAAGTTGTTTATTGAAACCATGATACAAAAAACAAGGTAGTTCCATTGTCACTTTTAAAATTCTTGACGTTTCCAAACAATTTAATTTTTAAATTTACTCACAAACTCACACACACATTTTCCTTCGAATATGGTAATTCGAATTCTTTGATGTCGCACTTTTAATGTACTGGGGAGATAATGCCACCGTCAGAATATTAAACATTGGCTTACGCAGCCGCAATTGGCAATTCGTGTCGGACGAACTCAGGAAGAATATAAAGCTACTGAACGACTGATACAGGGAACGTGATCTACATCGCCAAATGAGAAGTGCCATAAGTGTGCAATTACATCGCGCCATTGACTAAACCGAGCTGTCTTCAGACAATTGGGCCTATGGATGCGGTTTGGCAATATTATATTGCGTCAAAGTCTCATTCGGAGACACCAGGATTGTGTTGTGGAGGACAATACCTACATAAATACCTTCGTGGCAGATTTATTAGAACCATTTCGCGCTTTACTTTACAGCGACTTGGCAGAATCAAGAGGTCTCCACGAATATCGACAAATACATTTCGGCATTTAAGGGAATTTCGTCTCTTTAACCAACATTGAATTTCTGTAGTCCAACGATTCTCACCCACTTTGTCTGGTTTATCGCCAGCGAATGAAGAACAAAAATTTCTTCAATTTTAAAAGGTAAAAATTTCACTACTAAAAATTTAAAAATGTTCTTAAAACTTGCAAAGAAATTTGGAAAAGAAATATCACTGTTTTTGTTTTCAGGAGTAGGGTGGGAGTGTCATTGAAAAAATTAGAGCGAGAGAAAGTTTTTCTTACAAAACCTTGCATTATTGAATCATGGATTATAAGTACAAAATGTTTGTAAATAAACAAGAAATTAATAACAAAATTTGAAGGATTTTAGATATTGGATACGGTAGCACGAACTGTCACAATCTACTTAATTGTCAGGTTGTTAATATGGCGACGAAAAAGTGACAATGGAACTACCTTCTTTTTTTGTATCATGGGAAGGAGTAGAAAAGTTCAATTTCGCTGGCTTGTAGCATATAATAAACGAAAAACACGTACATAGGTTCCTCTAGCTCTNCAATAACAAATATTGAAGGATTTTAGATATTGGATACGGTAGCACGAACTGTCACAATCTACTTAATTGTCAGGTTGTTAACATGGCGACGAAAAAGTGACAATGGAACTACCTTCTTTTTTGTGTCATGGGAAGGAGTAGAAAAGTTCAATTTCGCTGGCTTGTAGCATATAATAAACGAAAAACACGTACATAGGTTCCTCTAGCTCTACTATTTATGTCATAAAAACAACTAGCGCACAGTAATCATTAACTAATTGCCTTTTATTAACATCACATGCTGAGCACATTAATCAAAATCTCTGATATTCGTAGACATAAAAAACAAAGAAAATACAGGTAAAATCTTTCACAAGTGCTTAGGAATATTGTTTTATTTATTATTATTTTTTTTTTTTT